CATAGCATCCGTCAAAAAGTGTTTAGACGATGTCCATGAGCCCCAGGACTCCATTCGGCAGCCCCGCAACTCGCTCCCTCACCCGAAACCCACATCCACCATCGGGCTCAGCCTCGACCCATGACCCAACTGAAAATAGGCGCTTTTTGCTCGCAAAAATAAAGTCCTATCATAGCCTAGCGAAGCCCCATGAATTCGCTGCGACCTCACAGCCCCCGATCCAACAATATCCATACTTTGGCCACAACATTTTCATCTCTATATAGCTGCTAGCCTGTCAAATTCGATCCCTGTTTGAACTTCTAAAACCAAGACCTGAAGCCACAAAAACTGCAACAGACAAGATACAACCTTCACCGGGCGATCAAAATAACACGTTGCGTAAGCCCTAGGGCTCCTGTCCCGCGGGTTGGACCCCCCTGTCACCCACCCCAACCAAGCTTCGCGGTGGTTATCGAGAAGGCCTTGTACCTCACATCCTCCTTGCTGGCCAGCGCGTCGGCCAACTTGGGCAAGAATTCCTTGCATACCTCCGATGGTCGAGGTGTTCCAAATGGTGAAGGTGTTCCCGACCGGATTGGCGATCCCAAGTGTCTCAGAAAATGGGGAGGTTGGGTCAAAAGACTTGTATTCCAGGCGATAAACTGCAGACTTCAGGCCCAAAAACAGGTTGCAAAACGGAGGAACTCCTGCACTAGGAACTCTTCCAAACCTGACAAAACTCAAATAAATCCGATGTTTTCCATCTGAGGTGCAACACATGTTCTGACCCTTGACCCATCCAAACAACAGGTGTATAATACGATCATGAGTCTTCTTACACGAACACCGGCGAACGCGCGCGTGATTGCGCCGGTCACACGTAGCACCTCCTCATGGACCAGCAAGGTCTCCATGGAATTGCAGGCCGCACCTGGGCCGGCCAAGAGGATGGGCCTTTGGAATCAAAGACCGGGCCTTTGGGCTTCAAAGATGAAGAATCCTGAAAAGTCGAGACACTTCAGGCAAACTCTTTTTCTGTTGGAGGGTGTGGATGGACCTCTTGAAACACCTCTCTTTTGTGGCGACGGACGTGCCGAACAAATGCTGAAAGACCCAAAGATTCAGGGAACGCCCTTTTCAGAGGTAATGAGAGAGGGACTTAGAGGACGCTTGTTTGTTTTCTTGCCAAATTGTACAATTGATTGATCGATTGATGTGTCATTTGACATATTGTTCATTAATTCATTTAGTCAGTCGGTGGCTCAAAACCTGGACTCAGAGTCTGCACACGGGAGACCCACCATCTGAAAAGCCGGAGTCTCCATCAGCTTGGTAAGAAGAGCATGTCTTCAAACGTTGTGGAAGAACCGTTGGATTCTTGAATCAGCCTTTTGTGTGTGCAAAACAGATTACTTTAGGATACTTTAGGGATGTTTTTAGGTCCCCAGACTTTTCGGTAGATTCACATCAGTCAGTTTGCAAATCCTTTTTGCTGTCACGCATGACTGATAGGGTCCACACCTGCAAAATAAACACACAAAGCAGCAAAGCACATCCCAATAAATTAAACACTGAACTTAACTTGTCAAAAACAATGTACCCATCAGGGGTGCACCTCACACCCCTCTCAACCAAAGGGCAAACAATCCTGAACGTGTGTGAAGCCCGGGTGGCCTCTATCCTGCACTCTGCGCACCAAGGTTCCAAAGAACATTCCTTTACTGACAGCTTCCTGAAAAAATAGACCTGCGACACCACTTGGTGGGTTCTGGCCATGACTCTCGCAATGGCCAGGAATTTCTACCTGGATGCCATCGTCTACCTGCCCAATCCACCTGGTCGTCACCGGCATCAAACCTCAGACCAAACCAGGTCCTGGTGGCGTCCGGGCCCCACCCAGCGCCGGGCGGGCGGCAATATTGCGTTTTGGAATCCACCACGACCTTCACAGCCTGCAGGTGCTTCACCCGTCTGGGAGAAGACATGTCTTTTTGTAGAAGAGGCCTGGATGCAACGCAGCCTCACCTGAGCCTCCAAACCCAATCCCATGCAGGTCCCGTGCATCCCTTTTTGGGGGTCTGCTTCCGCCTCGAATCCCATCCTCTGCAGGTGAGCAATAGCTGGCAAAACCCCACCCCTGTGGGCCTAAAAGCATGTCAAGAACGTTTAAACACCACAAACGTCCCATGTCGGGTTTGGGGATCCAAGGCTCAGCCGACCTCTTTACAACAACCTCTCAAACCAACCAGGCTCAGCCTCCAGCGGAACAAACCTCTCGTTTCCGGTGAACGAGTGGAAACTGGCCCCGCCTTCTCCAAGTTCGCCTGCTTGTCCACCTGGGTAACTCCCACTGAGCTGATCGGGTAGCTCCGGTGAGACGATGGACGGGATACACATGGCAATTAGAACTCTGAAAGTGAGTGGAACACACAGTATACACAGATCCCGATTCCCTCCGTATAGATCAGCCTCTCAGGTTTACGACCTCTTCCGCCGGTCGGCTTAAAGCCGGGCAGCTCCGGACCCTTTGAGGCCGTTCTCTGTGCCGTTCACCGAAGCAAATTCATGGTGAACCACACAAAAGCTGAGTGCCTGCTGCTGACTTTGATCAAAACCATATCAAACCGGCCCATGGAATCAAAGGCCCTATAGCTGAATAGTACTCAGCACGCCCCCCCCCAAAAATGGCCAAGTCACCAAGTCTCTGTGACTTTGGACCAAAACTCTTCCAACCAATCCAACCTCCTCCCACCAGTCTCGACCCTTTTGGCTCCAACCTCCGGCACCTTCCGCAACGCGACAGCGCAGTGAAACCGTTTCGATTGGCCGCCGCGGGTTGGCGAATCTGTGGGCGGGCGTGAAGATGGACATGGCACAGCCATGCGCAGCCCATAGCTATATAGCATGCTATAACCAAGGCCGTCAGTGGTAGGTTCTTAAAGATTCTTTAGATGTTTCCTCGCTTCCTAAACCGATCTTCACCCTGGCCAGCGCGGTTCTTCGGGGAGCTTCCGTTGCAGCTGGGAGTCAAATCCACGCAATCAAGGCTACACACCAATGTGTAAAAAAATCAATTTGACAAAAGCCTTGGTCAAGGATTCAAAAGGGAAGACTTCTGATTCTTCCTGTCATCCCTTTTTTTACAAGAAACGTGGACCGGAGTGCCAGTTCAGAACCATCAACGTACCAGTTCAGCACAAGACGGGCTGCAAACCCGGGTCCCGGTCTTCTTCCCGAGAGCGCACCGAAGTACGAGCCGGATGGACATGGCCGCGATGGCCGGAGTAAGGCCAGGAGCCGCCAAAGGAACGTTCATACGCTGTATAGATGGGTTGCAGAATACAGTGGCTCAAAGCATCATGGCGTTGGCAAAACCTGCGTATCCCTACAGATCCACATACCGTCGAAGCTACTTGGATCCACCAAGCTTACAGTGCTCCAATGACCCTTTCAGAGGGCATGTGGATCCCAAATAAACTGCTCTCCTGGCGCCAGTCTCCATCAACTGCCTCATGTTTGGACTATCGACTACGGACTGGACCCTTTTTCAGTGTGCTGGACAGGGTACAGGATCGGTACAAGGGCCACGAAACCTGTCCCATTTGGCATATTTTGGTGGATGATTCCCATGCATCTGCTCTCACTCTGAGCCTTGAAGGCCTTCATAGACCCCCTGCTCTAAAGGTCTGCTGGTACAAACCGTCTTTGGTATGCCATCCCCTTCGAGTTCAAAAAACAGGGCACCTCCTCCCGTCATGTGACACGCCGAAACACTGAAGTCTGTGGATGCTTGATGAGCGAATCATAAAGAAAAAACAACTTCCCAAAGGCTCGCAGGATCATCACAGCCACCAACAGAGGTTGAAGAACCCTGTTTGACTATCCCAGGTGACGGGTCCTATTTACGATCACGAACGACCTCTCTCTTGCCAGGGCTTTGACTCACGTCACTAGGGGACTTCAAACATGTTGCAGTTTGCTGCTGAGCAATGTCCTATAGCTTCATGGAGCACTTACCTATAGTGGGGCGACAGTACTTCCAAAGATTCCAGAGAATGGCCCAATCAGGATGTTCCTCCATAATCCCTGGCCAAACACTCCATGGGACTGGAAATTCAACAGTCATAATTGCAAGTCCACTACCCCAAGTCTGGCGTTGGCTCTCGATGAACATTCCGAAGATTCCGGGGATGGCAACGCTGGAGTTTTCACCCACAGATCGGCGAGAGCAGCAGCCGCACCGAGCAAAGCTGCACTTGGAATCGGAATCCCATGACTTGGACCACAACGACGGTCGGGCAGGAGAAACATGACACCTGGACATGTAACATGTCCAATAAACCCAACGGTTTCAACTCCACAACTTGTCAGTATGCAGCTTGACTTGTTTGCAACTTCCAACTCAGCTTTCCACCTGCCTGGAACCTTCGTTTTGAGTGCCACGGCAACCAGAAGCAGGGTCTTCGTGCTACGAAGAAACTCGACAAATAGACTTGGTATTTTTGGGGTGGCTGGGTCATTATCAGACTACGGTCTACACGGTCTACACGTTGGGTGGGTCTTTCTGGAAACAACGCCTCTAGTGACGCGTGACTCGACAACCAGAAAAAGAAACGGCATCTTCACACACAAACAAAAACTGCACTTCCAGCAACTGCACAATGGATATGAAAAGAAAACAAACCAACATGTCCAGTTTATTCCAGTTTGCCCACTTGCCCTCCAAAAAAAGAATACCACCGGACTTTCCAGTGTCTCCAGTTCTCCCAGTTTGGCCCCCTTCCTAGAGATCTTTGAGGGGCCGCCCGAATTTTCGGCTCTATGTCCCACGTACCTCTCCCCCCGTAAAACCCCGGTCCTTTGTCTATCCTATGTCCCTCTCTGCTCCTGCTCTCGACCTCTCCCAGTTCAGGTGCCCAAGGATTCCGACTCCGCAAACTCCGCCGTGTTCAACGGCGTCACCGACGGCTCCGCCGGCGACACCTCGGCGGCCTCGGTCGCGTCGAGCTCAGCGACCTCGGAGACGTCGCCGGCCGGCATGCGCTGCAAGGAATCCTCGGCTTGCGCTGCCCGTTGGCCAAAGATGGAGTGAGGAGGAAAGTGTTCAGAGGACTACTATAGTATAGTTGGATTGGTTTGTTAATGCTTGTTGGGCACCATCCGTGTTCGCCTCGGGCCAAAAGGTGGTCTGGGTCCCTAGAGGGAGTGGCTTGGTGAAGCAACACACATTCAGGACCAAGAGGGCAGGACAAAAACCGTTCTTTCCATCTGGGCGAACACTTGAAGGTGTCAAGAGAGGTACGGCGCGGCGATCAGAAAAGGAAGTCCCTCATGCTATTTTTTGATTTGCCATGTCCAAGAATAGAATCCTTGCCCCTTGATGAACGGTGGCAGCTCAATGTTTGAGAGATGAGTCAGGCAAAAGTAGGCCAGTGGTTCTCTAGACATAGACATAGTGAGCATGTATATTGGTGTCTGGGACAGCGCACCCAAAACCGATCGAACACTTTTTCTATCTATAACATCCGTGTACAAGAATGAACGTCTAGGACAGTCCGCTCTCACCATGTCTCCGAGTCACTAGAGGCTCAGCAGGATCATCATCTTTGAAGAAGCACACGGTGATGTTGTTGGGCGCATCCCCTGTGCCCAAATCGTGCAGTGACTTGGTTAGTTGCAGCACCAGGCTGTTTGATGGACCACCCCAAATTGGTTGTCTTGTACATCTGGGATAAGGACATCTTTCAAGACAAACACCTAAATGCTCTGGCTGGTGAGCTGCCAGAGTGGTCCGGTGGTCCCAATGATATTTTTTGCAAGTACTGAGCCAGCCTGATCTGTTGAGTCAATTGGCAGTGAACAAATTGAGACTTCTTGGGATATATGTCCCCACGCATCCCCACGTTCAGAATCAACATGGCCAACACCATGCCGGCATATCCCAAATCAGAGGCAAACGTCCTAAAACATAGAAACCAACCTTTTCCAGGTGCTTGCTGGAAGTACTTTCAACCCCGAATCGATTCTTGGAGACCCCAGGAACCAGGAGTTGAGGATATTGGGTGTGCTCAGGTGAGAAAACAAAACACTTCCAAACATATGCCTTATGGCTGCCACTTTCTGATAAAGCGAGGGTCAAGTCACCTTCAATGAAAGAACCTCTTTTAGCCAATGGCGTCCCCAAACATCCTGGACTTCAAGTACCTTAGAACATCCAGGCATGCCCATGCCCCTATTCAAGCAATAGGAATGACTGTACCAATTTTTCCTCAAGGTATGAACCGGTCGACTCCAGAGTAAAACCCCCCCAAATCTCCGGCCCAAAACATTGAACGACGCCTTTCAGCTCCCAAAAAAAATTGCCTGCACGCTGCGGTCCCAAATCCCAGCCTCAGCCCAAGTGAGCGTGCCAACAATAGAAACCCACCACCAGACGTGCGCGCCCCCAATAATACGTTTAAACACCGCGGGGGGGGGGGACCAAAGCACGCTGTAGAAATGCATGACATGGACTTGCAACCTCTATCGTCTGACTAAGCCTCGGACCTGTCGCGCAAGGAGACAACTAGGCATTCACTACCGGTAGTAAGTAGTAATGTTGAAACTGAGTAGATAAGCTAACTTTTAAATCCAACCAAGAGAAACACACAAACAACATTTCTAGTAACAGATTATACAGCTCCTTCTACCTCTCATCGTCAGCCGCTCAGCCAAACTTTTGTCGCGACACTCTCGTTCGTCAATGATTTCGTAGTGCCACAAAGTTGGAATGAAACAACGTGGAGTGCTGCTTCCCAAGTATGGCCGCTGGCCTATTGTTGAAGCCCCCTCAAACGGGCAGGGTCACAGGCCCATGGACGTTGAAGGATGCGTCTGCTGGCATGTGCTTTGTCCCGGATAGAGTCCCCCGCCTACCTGACCGGGGTTGATGTATACATGTCGGTCTTCTGGGTCCATGCACGTGGATCCACAGTCACACTCAGGTGCGACCTTACGTGCACTGACAAGGAAGTCAAAGGTGCTTCGCCCAGATAGGCCAAGGTTTCGTTGGCACTCCAATGACTGGCCATTGCGTCGATCCCCAAGTCCGAGGCCATGTATCTGGCCCCCGTCACCCTCATCGAGCTGCCCCGGTACCAAAATGGGTTGAGATCCGGGTCATATCCCGCCACGACACTGCGGATGAGGTTTGTGACCTGCGCCTTTGATAACCCTTCTCCCGTCAGATTCGAACATTACGAGCACGTGTCCTCTTGCAGGCCAATGGTTTGCGCCCACTCTTGAAGCTTAGTGAGGTATGCTCCTCAAATAGTGTGCCGGACACGGGTCCATCTGTTGACAGAAGCAATCGATGGATCTGACGCATCCGTCTTCCTGTCTTCCCCTCTGTCTCGAGGGTCGACAGCATCGCCCGTGGGTGATGTGAACAACTCAAAGGCTATAGGCTGCAGACGCTTCCGTTTCATTGAGGTAGAAGAACGTTCCTGCAAGCAGGTGCCGCTGAGTCAATCGGCTTGTCTGGGTCGGACGCGTTCCACCCCCACGACTACGCTACCTTTGCTGCTCTCCGGATGTCAGAGCGTTCAGCCCGTCTCAATGGTCCCACCTTGCTTTGCGCCGACTCAAGGACATCCTTCCCCACTCGTTCGAGAAGTTGGGTCCAGGTGTACCCTTTCTCGATGTGGGTGGTTTTCGCAGCGTGGTAGTAGTTCTTAAAACTCAGAAAACACCCGCTTTAAAGATTTGCACCCACACCCTCAAGTTGTGTGGGGTGACAGGAAAAGGTGCCTTGGCTGCATCTTCTTGGCCGAACCACGCGCGTTAGAATATCCTCCATGTCTTGATCAATGCCGCCTGGGCCGACCTGGCCGCGGTCCCAGGCAAGTCGTCGTCCAGTACTCTAAACGTCCTGGCCCTGGCCTATACCTTTCTGCAAGCGCCGCAGTTTGATTAGTCCTTGCTTGGTGTGCCCCTGTCGCTAAGCAGCTGCTTGTGGAGTTTTCAGACAAGAACTTTGGCTGCCCATAAGTGGATGCCCTGGTGGGATCTCTGATGAGATTGCTATCAATTGCTGGTCGGTTGATGCACCTTCTGGCTGCCCAAGTTATTGTAGATGCCAAGGTCGGATGCCTGTCATTAAATCTGCCACGAAATCCACGCGTCAAGGTCCACAAAAAGCTGCACCTGCTATGAAATCTGCACTTCAAGGTTCGCAAATATGCACCTGCCACGAAATCTGCACTTCAAGGTCAAGTTCTGTGCGTGCCACGATATCTGCACTTCAAGGCTCAAACCAAGAAATCCACACGCCGAGGTCCACAAAGTGCTGCGCCTGCCAAGCTTCAAGGTCCAGAAAGCACTGCGCCTCCTCCGAAAATCCACCCGTCAAGGTCCCCAAAGCGCTGCACCTGCCACGAAATCTGCACCTCAAGGTCCACAAAATGATACATCTGCCATGAAATCTGCACTTCAAGTCCCACATTAATTAAAGTATTGCCCCTGCCACGAAGTCCACAGCAAGGTCCACAAGGTGTACGCCTGCCGCGAAATCTGCACTATCAGGTCCACAAAGTACTGCGCCTGCCACGAAGTCTGCACATCAAGATTCACATCGCGCAGCCCTGCCCATGCGATTCGCAGCAAAAGCATTTCCAAAGACAACATCAAGATGCCCGAACGCTTTTGCTCCTCCGATTTCTGAGAACAAGCCACATGTCCAAGAGTCACGATTCACTGCACCTGCCACGAAATCAGAGCACGCCACCTGCCACGAAAAGTGATCAGCAAGCCCGAAATTGTGCACAGTCACAACGAGCGCAGTCTCGAAGAGTACCCGCTTGCGCCCACCAGATTCTGCAAGCCTGTGCATGCAGTCGACATGCACTTCGAAGATCTTGAGGTTAATGATATTAATATATATATATATATGCTTACTGCAAATAGCAGTGAATTGGCCGTACCCGACCGCGAGCACCTCTATCAAACACCCATCCTTAACACTTGCGGTAAGAACCCCTATTATGGACACACTCTTTGGGGAACAACTGCTTTTAGCTGGGTCATTCCTCCGTCGAGGTGGAGGAAGACCTATAACTTACGTGCACATCCCTGTGACAACCCCACGACAAGTCCGGACTGGATAGCGTTCATCGACTGATGGCAAGGCTGTCCATCCAATTCGATCTTTGAATGACTGTGCATCTCAAAGAGGTGACGGCCGGCTTCTTCGGCCAGTCGGTGTCTGAAAACACATGGCCACGGCGCAGCAAACTTGAAAGTCTTGTTCTTTGTGCTTTGTTTCGAACGACTACTACACGCCCTGTTCTTTGTCGTTTTCTGAATCCACCTGCAGTTGCACCCCTGAGGACGTGAAGTTGCGACAGGGGGATTCAGAGTCAGAGCTTGAGAGAGGTAGAAATTACGGGCGATAAGGATTACCAATTTGAAAGGGTTACACGTCTGTAAGCAGAGCAAACAAACAAGACCAGTCCGTTGAAGTGTCGCGGCGGCCAGGCTGCATGGGGTCTATCACGGTCTATCACCATGGGAAAGGTGGCGCTCCACGTCGTCACGTCCACTCCGCTCGTTTCAAACCAAACAGTGCATATACCGCTGCCATTGACAGGATGACGAGTATATCATATATCACCCACCCGCACATGTTCGATATGATCTCTCGACCATCAGGCCGGGAACCTAAAGGAAGTGCGATGAACTAAACCGCAGTAGAAACTTCCTTTCAATTAAGCCTTAAGGGTCCAGTGAGCTACCCTGACACTATGGGAAAATGAACGAATAGACCTTCCGATGAAATTTTGTACATGACCTCCAAGAGCTCATGGAGCTCTGGTCTTGAGACACCCATTCGATTCTACTTACTCTATAGAGATTTTCCACTCTATATAGCATGTTCTCCGCTTCGGTCATAAAAGGAACATCGTCTGAAAGACGGGAACTCGGGGAGTGATGCAGTGAACATAAGAAATAACTTTAAAAAAACACGGAAATTTGCAGAGACTGCATCAAATATAGAAAAATTGACATTGACATAGACTTAAAGCATCTCCATTCCAGTGGACATTCGAACTCAGGGCTCGAACACGTCATTCTTCGTCACAAGAGTTGGACATATTCCACCTTGGAGCACCCTCGAAACGGTTGCCTCGTAGTGTTGTGTTTCTCTGCCAAGCTGCCATAGGGATCCCTCTTGGCCAGGCAGTCACAAAGCAAGGGCTTGCTTCCAAGCGCAGACCTGCCAGCACCCTCCGGTGAGATCTATCAACTCCAAGGGTCCCACCATCGCAGCCCTCCTTTACAAAATTTGTTCCTTCAAATCCGAAGTTGGAAAGCGTCGCTTCATGATGTCCTTCATGATGTCCTTTTGGGAATCGGTCGATTTGGTATGAATCGGCCCTTCACGGCCGGGAGTACGTTAATTAAATCTTTAGTAAAAAGATGTCCAGGAGTATCAACCTGGGGCCCCAGTACCTGGAGTATCAACCTGGAGCCTTCAAAGTACGCAAGAAAATGGGACATGATGGACATGATCCTATACTACAAAAGCAGGTATATAATTGATGGCAATTAGTACTTCTGTCCCAAGGTACTTTGAGACTCAAGACTCTGGGAAGCTGAATCAGCTACCTCTGAACATGACCCATCGCAGCTGGAGTCGACCTGTGCGTACCTCGGAGATGTGAAGTATACAGGTACCATGTTGTCATATATGTTGTACGCTGTCTTCTGTTCGGTCACATGTCGTCCGTCGCTTGTTCCGAACGGGCCGGCCATTGCCGGACACACACATTCGCGCCTGCCAGTGAGTGGGTGTTGTCTCATGGGCGTCTCAAACCTGAGGATCGGTCAAGGGTGGGGTCGGTCCTTGTCGGTCTATTTGTCTCAGACGAAGCACGACACAGGTCGTGCACAAAACAATGAGTCGAAGGTAGAAAGAGGCAAAACCCGTGTCAACACGAGTTAGTTGGGACATGTTGGGACATGAGTTGGGAACATGGTACAACAATGGTACAACAATGGAAGAAATCCAGGCCACGCCAGGGTGGCAGGGGCTAAAGCAGTAGACAAACCAAGAACTCAAGAACTGCTACAAATGAAAGCTCGGAAATATGGTTTCATCTATTAATGCCTCATGAAAATCAGAAAACCCTTCCACTGAAGCATCGAGTTTCGGGCTGCGCCCTCAGTTCGTACCAGTATTTAACTAGGGCCATCAGTCAGTTCCTCAATTTGGGGACTTCAGGGGAAGATGGCGGCTCCCCCCCAACAGGACCAACCAGTTCGGACCTTGAATCCAAGACTGCACCAGTTTCTTAAGAGGGGAGAAACAAAATCATGTAAGGAGTCCAAGGTTCAGACCCTGGAAGACCAATGAAGACAAGCTGTAGAAACCAAGTTATGTCAACGATGTGATAGTTTAGACAGGTGATGTCCCTTAATGAAAGGGGAGGGGAACGAATAAACAAAACAACATAAAACAACGACCTGGAGTCTCAAAGTACCTTAACAATAACCATGTTTCAAGGGTACCAACTTTATCGAGTCCATGTATTGGGGGATCATACTTCACATACCAGCCGGATGAAGGTCTAGGCCCCCATGTCTGAGAAAACGCAGCCTTTGCGCCCCGGAAGGCTCCTATAGACGAACCGTGTTGCTCCACACAGAATCTAGGACACGAGTCGTGTCCTGGGACTGACGTGTTGAGGCGTGGAAAGGGGATGAATGGGGCTTCATAGATGAATGGGTCTCATTTCTCGTATCTGTTTCTTGTTCAAGCCGAGGGCCAAGACGTGTCTGTGATTGAAAATACTTGAAAGCTTTCCAAAGATAACTTTTACTGGATTTGGACCCCAATAGGTCCAATAGATGTCCCAAATAGAAGAAGATACCAGATTCATCGCCAAAAACGCGACTCCACCCCTTGCAGTGGACGCGACTCAACTCGCAACGAAAAACGGTTCCGCCCAGCAACAGGCTTGCAGGAAGTCGCGGGGGCGTGGCGGTGTAATACCTCTCAGGAGTGAAACGGAAGGAAGAGCTGCTGGTAGGGTGGGTCTGCAAGATTCCAGCTGGGCCAACACATGGCCACACAATGTCACATGATAACTCGACAGCTGAGTTTCAATGCATTGGTATATCTCGACCATCCGGTCAAACTAAACTAAATATCGTCCGACTTCTCCAACGAAAAAACTTCAGCGCAAGGCTGGTGACAGAACTGAGTTTAGGGGCCTCAGGTTGGAGCAACATAGATGCAACAAATTCGCTGATGCAAGATCTACTGGATCAACCCCCTAGGGCTCCAACCATATCCTCAGGTTCGGTGGTTAGACCTTTTTGGCACCCACCCCAACCACCTGACCTCAGGAGGTGGGCCAGGAGCCCTAGGGAACATAGATCTTTCAAATGGATGTTCTGGCCCTGCCCGGTGGTTTTGGCCACGTCCGCCGTCCGCACCCCGGGAAGCCAAAGAAGTGGATGGCTGGGATCGCCAAGTAGTTCCTGGGCGACGAGGACGAGGACTTCTCGGTGGCGGGTGGACACGGGGAACGGTTCCAGGCTGAGGAACGAGCACGGGGGACTCATCAGTTCACCTTTCAGGGACCAAACGCCAAAACATCACAAAAGACCATCCATGTGATGATTCTAGGTGATGACGATGATGACCTTATGGCAGGTTTTGGGACCAATGTGGCATGTTTTGTTTGCATACGAAGGTTACTCCGGGTAGGTGGAGCCATTGACCCTCAACACATCTCAAGAAACCACGAAATGTAGGCACATCTTCCAGTTCAATTTTCGGGATTTTATTCCATCCAGGAAAAAAACACAAGAACACCGCGGTGGCCGGACACACACTTAGAATAGAGCTCGGGTGAGTACAAGTTCAGTTGAGAATCTGCAAACTTTCCGGATACTAAGCCTATAATCAAGACAACCTGTCGAAAACCTGCAAATGGCAATGATCACCACCGAAAGGCACGATTTTGATCGATTTTGAGTCCGGTAAGGCCACACGAACCACACACGTCCCACGTCCCATGCGGCTCTTCGAACGCAAAGGACGGCGCGTTCGAAGCTCGCTCGAGCGGCGCGTTCCCGAAGAGGTTGGAATTGTGCTCCATCTCCGGCGGAGTGATCAGCAACTTTCGTGCGCGGCCTGGGGCCGAGGCATGCAGGGCTTGAGATGTGTTTCTTTTGTCAAAGACCGGAGGGTATACCTTTTCCTGGCACAAGGCGACGTTTCATGAAAACGGCCATGCCTTTTGCAACAAGGTTCTATAGGTACTTATAGGCTCTTCTAGGGTCGGTTCCAACCTGCTTCCATTTCGGTGGTTGAGGTGGCGGGTGAATTGGAGGATTACATGGGCCAGGGCCCGGAGTTGCCCCCGGAATTATTCTGGGTGTCTCATGGGTGGCAAGAGACTCATCTCCCTAAAACAGGGATCAGGAGTTCTTACATGTTCGTACCTCCCACCATGGCGATTCGAAGTCGTAGCAGTTCTTGGTTCGGGCCAGGTCCCATTTTCATCCCCACTGCAGTTAACAGGGTGATGTTGGAATAGGCATTTTGTAGGAAATGGTCTCTATACAGAATGAGTGTGCATAAATGTCCATACAGATTGAGTGGCTCACCAATTTGACGGTCTACAAAATGAATGGTCTGTCTGGGGACCAACAAAAATGATAAAACATGCAGATTCAGATTCACTCAAAAATAAAAATCAGCCATCGGAGCATCAAGCTAAATAGGCATCAAACATGGTTACTACGTCAGAGTTCCATATGTCACACGAATCAAAGAAAACAATCAATGAACAAATGCTTAAACAATCTTAAACACATCAACACAATCGAACTCAGATCAAGAAAACGGGATCAACCAAATTACGACTATAGAAGCCAGAGTCCATCTCTGTGCTCTAGAAAATGAAGCATCGACAACACAAAACATGTCTATAAAATGAGGTCCATCATCCACAGGGACAGGCGCATCATTCATGCAAACAATCACTGGCAACAAGACGGCTATAAACTCCAGAGTTTATCTCTGTGCTCTAGAACATGAAGCCTCGACAATACAAAACATGTCTATAACATGAGGTCCCTGGATCAAAACGTCCACAAAATGGGAATCAACATTATCCTGATAAACGTGACTAATTTGGAGTCTCTACAAAATGACAATCAGGGTAAGCAAAGTGATGCCAGCAACATTGTGTCTCTATAGACCCCCCCATGTTTTAGTCAAAACCATGTTTTCTTGTTAAAACTGGTTTATATAAGGATCCCAAGATCATTCCCCATTTCATAGCGTGACTAATTTGGGGTCTCTACAAAATGACAATCAGGGTAAGCAAAGTGATGCCAGCAACATTCTTTCTCTATAGACTCCCCCATGTTTTAGTCAAAACTATGCTTTTATTAAAAACAACTGGTTTATAAGGATCCCAAGATTATCCCCCATCTCATAGTGCAAATTTCAACAAGGACCCATTTTCCAGGGTATGAACTGGAGGGTCGGGTCAGGGTTTGTTAATTTCAACACGAGAAAAAGCAGCAAACACACGTAAAACACTTCTTTCGCCGCGTTCGCTGTGTTCTAGTTACCGTAAGAATCCAGGCGGAGGTTCACTGAAACATCTTCAAACCGTTAGAACGTGTGAAGATTGTGGAGGAGGAATGTGAGTTTGGAAGGAGAGGTGTTCAACAATCTTCAGTGGTTTCAAAGTAGATGGCACAAACCCCTACATGTCTTTTAGATGAGGGTCCATATAAAACATTATAAACCACTTCTTGGGGATTGTGCCACCTACTCTAGAAACCACTGTATGTGTTTCCAACCTGCCGCAGGTCGAACAAAACAACATCTTTGAGAGGTGGGTTTCATGCTGCTGATGGAGGATTGCCATGGATTGCCTCAAACAGATGTACACGGATCCTGTAGGGTTCCAACAAATGGCGTTGCTCGAACATCCCGGTGTTGGCGTCGTAGGCTATGGCACAGGTATGGCAAAAGAAGCTTGGTCATACTCCCCGTAGTCGTATGTTTGGATGAACAAAGCATGGGTGTGTCTTTTAGAAGAGGGAGACCCGCCTTTCTCGGCCCCTGGCTGGGTAGACTGGTCTAAGTCTATTACCCTTCTTAGAGGGGGTTGGAACACCTGGGAGGTCTCCTGCTTTGAGCTACACACCTGCATCTTCACCCACCCCATGTTTCAGCAACTTCCAACCTTCCGTCCGCCCCTTTCGACTTCTTCCCCTGCCGAAACAAACGAACCGAAACAATCCGCTTCGTCTGCTTGTGTGGGTGGAACTCCCTCGCGCGGAACCTCCACCCCCGCCGGTCGGAGACGAGAGCCCCGTCGACCGAGGCGCATCGCTTGAAGAGCGTCAAGGAGTGGTCCACGGGGATCAAGCCGTCGGCCTCAGCAAGCGAAACCGAGCGAAACCTCGCGTCCCGAGGGACGGCTTGGACGGTGGCCCCGCGGTGGCACCGCGGTGGCACAACTGCGATCTGCGAAGAAAGGCGGAGCGGATCGAAAAATGACACGGATCTGGGTCCGACTGAAGCTCCCAGCAGGGTGTGAAGAACCCACCCAGCCACTTCTAGAGCTTCAGAAAGACACCAACTTAGGAACACTGCAACCACCTCCAGAATCCACCCACCAGATCAGTGTGTCCGTCAGTTCCGTCACCCTTCGCACTCCCGTCGCCCACCAGTCAACCAGTTCCGTGCGGCAGTCGCCCCGCCTCCCCATGGATGAAAAGGGTTGAGCAACTCACATTCGCGATCACATTGCCTTGACTGAGCAACAGTCAAGGGTGGTTCTTCGGTGCGGCGATGGTCTAACCTCCAACGATGGTCAGACTGACTGGGAGCATATACATATTATACATATGTTACATATTTGTATACCCTGGGCTTCAACGTTGAAGTTTAACTTCGTAGTACATGACGAC